TCAGTTTCAATTTGTACAACCATTAACTGTGCACTTTCGTGCGCCGGTTTTGGTTGTTAGCTTTTGGCCGCCCATTTGGACGAAACAGTAGGAGCCACGGATAAACGTAATACAGCCTTTGATTTCTCACTAATTAACTTGGAGCAAAGACTAGATGATTTCCAAACGCCTACTGTTTCTTTGCTCCCGAACTTAAAAACATCTCAAACAGAGTATGAAATATAATAGTTGTCATCAGTTTGTTTTTCTGTCAGCAAAACCACTAGGTGACATGTATGGATCCTTACAACACTCATTTTCTTCAGGTAAGAAGCCAACCTAATCGGCTGCTTCTAGATTGAGATCTTTTCTTGGTTTAGATTGTGAACAACGGTCATTTGTTTCGTTCATACCTCAGTAATTCTTACCTAAACTAGTCTATCTGAATAATTCACTTCTCTTTTTCCCCAAACTTACCGAAATCGTTTCGACAGAATGGTCCTTGTTGACTTTGTGGTCCGATTTTGAGGAAGTTGAATCCCGTTCAGGGACCAAATACATCCTTCCTTGAGCTGTTCTGTTTCTGAAAATAGATTATCTCGGCTTCAGATTTGACACACACACACACACATCAGAACAGAACAGAGCGGTGCACGAACTGCTTCCAAATCGTAGATGACCAAAACATCTTGATCGTAAATTTCTGATTTTTTACTTGAAAGTCGGGTAGCAAGTTCGTTTTATGTGTGTGGTATAACACGAATTGACTAAAAACTTAATGCAAACGAGTGGAACTCAGTAATCATAGAAACTCCCTGGATTAGGTATAACCAAATGTTTCTAGCTTTGTGGAAAATTAACGGAGTGTTTATTCGCTTGAATCCATTCAATTCCCTCTTCCCTCTACGGTAAAAAACTATCGATTGACAAGGGCATGTAAACTACCGCCAGGACTACTTACCATCGACTTGACTGGTGCGGGGACGGGGGGACGGGGGAATGACAGGGACCACGGTATCAACAGTGTTCGAAAGGTGTCACACTTTCAGATCTCTAGAGAATTGTGAATTCCAAGTACCTGACCGCTGACTTTTCGGTCAGATTGCTCTGTGGAAGGTTTATGATGAGACCAACTAAGTTCAACACTCACTACTGTGAGGATAAATGAGTGACGTAACAGCCCACATCACTCATACTATCTTAGAAACGTACATGAACTTTGTATGGCTTAAATCTCGTTCACCTTATTTTCTCTTGTTTACATTGTTGGTACTTGTGCATATTAATTCTAGTGTCGAACGAGCTATTTGTACTCAAAAGTAAAGTGAAGCTTTTAACTTTTGTTTTAAAGTAAATTGGTTGATTTCGTCGCAATTTATGTGGCTACTGAAATGAAATAAGCTTCCATTATGCTGCTGTATCGTTCGCGAAGAAATTCAATGATTGAAAAGAGAGTGAACAGTTGATGTTAAGAATTTATCTCGAGGAATTCGCCAATATATTTGAATGCCGTTTTATTTGCCCATTTAGAAAATATTTGGTTCTGGTACGATAAACTACGACTTTCTAAAATAGACTTTGCTCAAATCGCCACTTGAAAGGGGATATATTTGGGGAATTTTCATAATCACAATCATTGAGTTTTTAAGTGCCATTTGATTTCAGTTTCTAACAATCGACACGAACAACGCCATCAAATATGAACCCTGATTTTTGTGGTTAATTTTATACACTTTTTCTTTGTTGTACATCTTGCTCCCAAATAGTGGACAGTTCCGTCGTTAGATAATTGAAAATTTTATGCCCTCTAAATTAAACATAATTCTAAAACGTCGCTCTTTCTAGAAGTAACTGGGTCGCATACACAAAGCCTTTGGTGACGCCCATAAAGACTTATGAAACCTTGAGTCCGACGCGTCAAAATTAAGCTGTTTTGAAACTGTATTTCAGAATTTGCTGTCGTTTCTAAGCAGCACTGAGCAATATTTTTTCGGAAATATTTTTCCTTTGTTATGATAAGCGATTTGCTTTCTCAGGAGTTTTCAGAAGGGGCTCGATCACAGCACCTATCGCTCTGCTCCAAAACTCCGTTTGAAGTAAAATAACAGTCATTTCCAACTGTAACTCACCTTTAAAAATTTTTCGAGGATCCTTGAATGGTTCTCCACAAGACACAAATATTGCTTTTTCATCCAGCAGTTGTGATTCATCATAAACTTCTTCACCCGAGGTTAAAAAGATTCTTCTTGCGGCCGATGTGAGCTTCAGGGCTTGTGTAGCATTGCTGAGAATCTAAAGTTTCGAGAGCCAGTGTTATCGAAATAAAAACGAAAAAAATCACTCTAAATCATTAATTAATATATCAAAATATGTGAATTGTTGGCCATATGAAGAGTGTTACAATAAATCTGCCTTTTAGCCGTATAAAGTATGAATCACTAAGATTTCTGAACCGCTTCTCCCTAAAAAGATCCCGCATTTTATTGAATTCTTTAGGCAAAAGTTTTAAAAAGAAATATTTGATTAGATTACTGGTATTGAAATCAGTAACCTACTTGTTAAATGATAGCAATGAGCGCACGTGAGAGTGTCTTAGACGGTATCATACCTTTTACCATTAGCTTTTCTTCGAATATGTACCAATGAGATTCATTTATCTTCTAAACACAAATAACATTAAAAATCATGTCCAATTTTGAGCTCCCGGCTTCCATTTATCCCAATTCATTAAAAAAACGTTATTCGTCCGGGTTGCTCTTTTTCCGTTTTTCCTATCATTGTTTTGAATAGTTTGATCTCAGTGATGGCCCCTGTTGTTTGCGAGAAACTAGGCAGAATAATGTACGAGTGAAATTCTACAAAGAAATCAAAATACATGCAAGTTGTAAACTTTTTGCATGGTCTCAATGTATATATATATGTATATTAAACACCGATTTGCACAGATACAGCGCCAAAATAACCATGGGTGAACGAAAATATATAAATACAACATCGGGGAAAATAAATCAGTCAACTTCGGGAGTTACAATTTTTGTCTGTTTACTGCACGCCATTTTGACGTTTTCCTTTTCGTTTTTGTTTATTTTTGGGACTGCAAACAGGAAAGGATGTATTCGTGCCACTGACCGTGGTTTGAGGTCATTTCCCGCAGTTTCTCCAGTCAAAGTCAATCTGAACCTTTGGGGCCACAGCCGGGGAGCCGGGAACCCCCAAAGGAAGCCGATCCGAGCACAATCTCTTTAACCCTCTGCACCACGTCATAGGCTGTCCACCTCGCTGTTTCTTCCATCCTGGACCGATCTCTGCGAATAGTGCACGGTGTGGCAGACGCTGCTCAGGCATTTGTCGGATGTGCCCTAGCCACCTAAGACGATGCTGTGAAATTATTTGGCTCAAAGGAAGACTCTCTGATCCTAGCCCCCGTCGTCTGACTTCATCGTTATTCACGCAATGCTCCCATCATAGGCGGGCGATGTTGCGCAGACAACGGTTGTCGAAGACTGATAGCTGCTAGACGTGATCTGCTCGGAGAGGCCAGGTCTCGCAGCCGTAGAGCAACACAGTGCTTACCGTTGCGCGATACCCACGCCCTTTCAATGAAAGGGATATATCGCGCCGGCGCCAGAGATGCCGATTAGTAAACGCTAATCTAGCCTTGATCACGCTTTGAGAGATCTCACCTACACCACCGCCAGCCGTTATGCAACTCCCAGAGTATGATTATCCAACGAGAATGCACAGTGCACAAGTCGTTTCAAGTCGACTTGAAAAAGGCCTTCCAAGAAGGTCGAAATGTTGTCACTAACGCCATTGTGTTTTGGTTTTCATTCGTCGCGGCTAAGACAAGCTAATTTCCTCAATAATTCACTGTCCATGTTTAGATCCCTTGATCCAAAGTTAATGCCACGAATTCTAAGCATGTTAGCTCACCTACTGCCATTTTTATGTCGTTCTTCCTCAGCCAATTTCTTATCGTTTTAATTAAAAGACTGGTACTAGAATTCGCCTGATTTTAAATGTCAAATTTACTTCCAATTTTTCCTCTTGCTCTGCATAAATTTGAGTCATTACGAGATCCCAAAGTTTACGGACTTGGCAATTTTCGAAGTGATAATTAATGATCGCTTGAAACGGCAAAACATTTGTGATGCAACTGTTTTTGCAGTAGTAATGATCATTCCACACTTGATCCCACCCTACCCAGTGTGTGACATGATCTTCTTTCATCCTTTCTCTACCACATCCACTACATTATTTGAATCAGTTCACTTCCATATTAACCTTGTT